ACATAATTAGTAATACTTTATAGAACGTTCTAGAACAATGTAACCATATATATTTTGAAATAGTTAGCAAACGCCAAGGMCAACTTAGYTARAACTTTGGACCTTGGTAAGGTRTAGCCTGGGCTTGGTCAAGTGGATTAAGCAGGGCCAAGGCCAGACTATACAGATCTGATATATGTGGTACCATYAGCCAGGAAAMACCCCTGACGAGGTGTCTAAAATCAGCCAAAACTAAAACATTATGGAACACTTCATTTCCATAAAAGGACTGAATTGGCTTCAAATTCTAAGTGGTTAAATCTTTTAATGGACACATCARCCCAAATACTGTCTGRTGATAGCACATATAAGCAGAGCATAATTTAGCAACGAGAGAGTAGAAGTTGTAGAGGACGAAAGAATAAAAGAAGCAAAAGCCAACCAAAAACAGGGTAGCACCCACTAACAACTGTTTGAACGATAGATTCTCTACGTTCTGTAAGCAAGCCACTATTTTGATTTTTTATATTATTAAGTTGCTAGGATTTATAGAGAGTGGCGCGTGCAAATCACTCAGTTTGCTGAAGAAGGCTGAAGTGCCGAAACGTCCAATAAACAGAGTTATTATAGCTTCAAGTTATTTTGTTCTATTTCATTCTTCTTATATATATACATATATACATTACAAATGTACATAGAAAAATGCCACGTAACTTTCTAAATATATTTGGAGCTTAAAGGACAATAATATCGAATTCACTCTTAAATGGTCAATTTTAACGAAATCAAAATCATATAATCATTTAAGMAAACGCTGTAATTTATGTATAAGTGAGAAATATATAATAATTTGCCATAGACATGAAGCAACCTTAAATAAGCGTAACCAACTTGTATCTACATGTAGACATAGACGAAAATACCTCTTAAGATTTTACAACGGATAAACATTTAATCCGTCACGCWCTTGTATCTATAACATCACGAATCTGTAATTTTAYACTTTAGCGTCAATTKCAAACTTGTACTTAATGTAAACYTTTAGATTTTAACGGTCATGTAATTGGTTTCACCTGATGAGTGTGGTCCTCTGGACCATACGAAACAATATTGTAGTGAAAATTCCATCATGGAAATACAGTAGTTTGTTCTGTAATCTTCTATTTTATTTAATACAGCTCCGACTTTTATATTGTCGTTGAGCACTTTTTTTAGTTTTTTGATGAAATTTTTCATATATACATATATACATTATATACAGCCTTTTGCAAAAATTATGAGAATTGTTGAAATATCTAAATATCATAATATCAAGTGCATGATGGGTAATCCCGCGCGATTCCCTTGGTCCCTTGTCTTTGTAGTTAAGTTTTTTTTTTGGCGACAGACTTATCCGTAGTTCTGTACATTTTCTCGATGTCAACAATGAATTATTCTAGAAAACCTGCGTGTTCCGGACAATATATGGATATGGATATTATGATATTTAGATATTTAGACAATTCTCATAATTTTTGCAAAAGGCTGTATATATCAACACTCTGAATATCAATAGAAACTAACATGAACAGAGACTTTTTGACTGTCTGCTCTAGAGAGGGCATGGCCAATATTGTGAAATGAGCTATGATTGAAGATAATTCAATAAATTATCAACATTAAAAATATATATGGATATCGCATGAAAATAGTACATTTTGAAATTATCATTTTTCTTATCTCTCACGTGGAATTAATTATCTGCTCTTCAATGGCTAAAATGAACAATCCATTGTATGCTGACATAGAAATTTATGTGGACATCAGTTATGGATACACCAGGGTTCGAAATTCCCATTGCATAAACTTGCAAGTTAAATTAAGAAAGAAAATTGTCATCAGCTTGAACTTTTATGCGAGTTCACTTATATTTTGTAATTTGCGAGAAATCTTACTAGGTGGATTGAGATTTATTTTACGTGCATTTGTTTGTTTTCCTCATAGGATGCCATCTTCAAATTACTCAAATAGAACCCAGTTCAACTCTGGCAAAGGGTCAACTGACAGATCAAAGAATGCCTTACTTTTTTTGTCGCTTGTGGTGTAGAAATTGCCGATTCCAGCTCCATCACAAAGTATTTTAGAGTAGTTACATACAAAAGCTGTGAGTCACATGCAAAGAAAACCAAAGAAGAAAAAGGAAAGAATGTTTCGAACAACATTCCATACAAGCCCCATGCCCATGATGGAAATTAGCTTGAAGAATTAAATAAAAACGTTGTTTAAAATTTTGGTTGTTGGCATTGCGTTTTTCTTGTAGATCTCAAATCCAAAAGCATTTTTTAGCTGTTACTTAAAAATGAATTTAAAACACTGTTCACTTCAATGCAAAATATTTCATCTGATGAAAATAATGACCTATGGATTCTGATGACCAAAGCAATGATTTAACAAAAAATGGAAAAGATGTACAAGGAAAAGAAAAGGAAAACACAACTGATGACAATTATGATGACAATTATGATGACTTTGATGAAACTGATAATCCTTTCAATGAGCACAGAACTCCAAAAAATAAAACATGTTTAAAG